ACTATCTCTTCAAGTGGCTTATTTGTCATTTGTGACGCATTCATGATTTCTTCCTCGACAACTCTGAGATATTCCCCAAGCTGAATCTCATTCAAATCGAAATCTTCTCCGTGGTACCTTTTTAGCTGAGAGAGCAGACAGAGGCTCAATTTAACATCCCGGCCAAAGGACAGCGCTTCCAGCACTGAAGCATTCCACACAGTATCACACTCCCTCACTATCAGAGCCCCTCACTATCACACTCCCAGACTATCACAGTCCCTCACTATCACACTCCCTCACTATCTCATTCCCTCAATTTAACACTCCCATAGTGTCATATTCCCTCAGCATCACACTCCCTCAGTATCACACTCCCTCAGTATCACACTGCGTCTGTATCACACTGCGTCTGTATCACACTCCCTCAATATCACACTGTGTCTGTATCACACCGCGTCTGTATCACACTCCCTCAATATCACACTGTGTCTGTATCACACTGCCTCAGTGCGACACTCCCTCAGTGTGACACACCCTCAGTGTCAAACTCCTTTGCTATTGCATTCCATCATTATCGCAGTCCCTCAATGTCACACTCACTCACTATCACAATCCCTCAATTCCACACTCCCTCAGTATTGCACTCCCTCAGTTTCACACTCCCTCAGCGTCCCACTCACTCAGTATCTTACACCCTCACTACCACACTCAGTTCCACACACACTCAGTTCTACACTCCCTCAGTGTCAATCTACCTCAGTATTGCATCACTCAGTATCACACTCCCTCAGTTCCATACTCCCTCAATACCACACTCCCTCAGTATCACACTGTCCTAATTTCACACTCCCTCACTGTCACACTCCCTCAGTTCCACACTCACTCAGTTCCAGAATCCCTCGTTATCACTCTCATTCAGTGTCACACTCCCTCAGATCAACAGTCCCTCAGTATCACACTGCCTCAGTATCACAGTCCCTCAGTATCACACTGCCTCAGTATCACAGTCCCTCAGTATCACACTGCCTCAGTATCACACTCCATTAGTCTCACACTCCTTCACTGTCACACTCCCTCAGTTCCACACTCCATCAGTGTCAATCTCCCTCAGTATTGCATTCCCTCAGTAACAGATTCTCCCAGTGTCACACTCCCTCGGTATTAAACTTGCTCAGTATCACACTCCCTCAGTGTCATACTCCCTCACTTCCACACTCCCTCAGTACCACATTCTCACAGTATCCCACTCCCTCAGTATCACATTTCCTCAGTATCACACTCCCTCAGTTCCACACTCCCTCAATACCAAAATCCCTCAGTGTCACACTCCCTCAGCATCACACTCTCTTAATTTCACACTCCCTCACTGTCACACTCCCTCACTGTCACACTCCCTCAGTTCCAGAATCCCTCATTATCACTCTCGTTCAGTTTCACATTCCCTCAAATTAATTGACACTGCCTCAGTATCACACTCCATTAGTCTCACACTCCCTCACTGTCACACTCCCTCAGTTCAACATTCCATCAGTGCCAATCTCCCTCAGGATTGCACTCCCTCAGTAACAGATTCTCCTAGTGTTACACTCCCTAAGTATTAAACTTCCTCAGTATCGCACTCCCTCAATTCCACACTTACTCAGTATCACACCCTCCCAGTATCACACTCCCTCAGTGTCATACTCCCTCAGTTCCACACTCCCTCAGTACCACAATCACACAGTATCCCACTCCCTCAGTACCACATTCCCTCAGTATCACACTCCCTCAGTTCCACAATCCCTCAGTATTGCACTCCCTCAGTATCGCACTCTCTCAGTATCGCACTCTCTCGGTACCACACTCCCTCAAACAGCACTGGGTGCATCAGCCTGGATTGTGTCATTCCTGTCTCTGGAGTGAGATTTGAACTCAGGATCTCTGCTGCAGATTCCCAGTAAAAGTATCAACTGTCTCTCTCAAGCGGGCGATGCCACAGCCACCATTAGTTCATGGGATGTTATCTGTTCCCTGGTGCAAGACACACATCATCCTATCTTTCAAATATATGAATTAGGAGCCAAAGTAGCCCACTCGGCCCATCAAGCCTGCTCCACCACTCAATAAGATCATGGCTGATCTGTTTGTGTTCGGAATTCCTTGTTCCCATCTATCAACTTCATCCCCTCGCAACAAGAATTTCTCCACCTTGTCTTCAAAATATTCAATGGCCCCACCTTCATCACCTTCTGAGGCAGACAGTTCCAATGGCTTGGATGAGGAAGTGGAAGGGTGCGTTAGTAAGTTTGCCGATGACACGAAGGTTGGTGGAGTTGTGGACAGAGCAGAGGGCTGTTGTAGGTTGCAACGGGACATTGACAGGATGCAGAGCTGGGCAAAGAAGTGGCAGATGGAATTCAACCCAGACAAGTGTGAAGTGATTCATTTTGGAAGGTCGAATTTGAATGCAGAATACAGGGTTAATGGCAGGATTCTCGGCAGTGTGAAGGAACAGAGAGATCTTGGGGTCCACGTCCATAGATCCCTCAAAGTTGCTTCCCAAGTTGATAGGGCTGTAAATTGAGTTTAAGAGCTGTGAGGTTATGCTGCAGCTCTATAAAACTCTGGTTAGACCACACTTGGAATATTGTGTTCAGTTCTGGTCACCTCATTATAGGAAAGATGTGGAAGCTTTAGAGAGGGTACAGAGGAGATTTACCAGGATGCTGCCTGGACTGGAGGGCAGGTCTTATGAGGAAAGGTTGAGGGAGCTAGGGCTTTTTTCATTGGAGTGAAGAAGGATGAGAGGTGACTTGATAGAGGTGTACAAGATGTTGAGAGGCATAGATAGAGTGGATAGTCAGAGACTTTTTCCCAGGGCAGAAATGACTATTACAAGGGGGCATAATTTTAAGGTAATTGGAGGAAGGTATAGGGGAGATGTCAGAGGTAGGTTCTTTACACAGAGAGTGGTAGGTGTGTGGAACGCGCTGCTGGCAGTGGTAATGGAGTCAGATACTTTAGAGACTTTTAAATGACTCTTGGATAGGCACATGGAGGATAATAAAATGTAGGGTATGCATGGTAGATTGATTTTAGTAAGATAATAGGTCAGCACAATATTGCGGGCTGAAGGGCCTGTACTGTACTGTACTGTTCTATGTTCTAAAGTTGTACAGTCCTCTGGGAGAAAAAAACTCCCCTCATTTCTGGTCTGAATTTTTTAAAAAGTGCTCCCTAGTTCTGGACCGTCCCACAAGAGGAAACATCTTCTCATTGTTCACCTTGTCAAGATCATTCAGAATCTTTTACACTTCCACTAAATGGTTTCTCGGTCTTCCAAGCGCCATTAGAGAAAAGCCCACCCTATGCAATACCGGAACTACATCATTGTTCCTGCTCTGGCACAGTCAAACACCTCGACCTGCCTCCCAGATGCGGTGTGGCTGTCCCTCCCTGCAACAGACTGCAGCGGTTCAAGAAAGCTAAATCAATGTCACCTTCTCAAGGTCAACAATTGGGATCGGGAAATAAACGCTGGACCAGCCAGCCAACCCCCTTTCGCACAAAAGAATAGATTTAGATTTAGGTTTTGCTATCACGCGTACTCAAGTACAGGAGTACAGGAGTACAGTGAAAAGTGTACAATGTCACCACACACTATGCCATCTTAGGTACAAGGGTACCTCAGTATAAAAAACTTATGTACAAAGTTGTAAAGAGAAACAGAGTTAAAAACTCAAGCATTACCTTCACAGAATGAGTCAAAAAAATAACTAAATGAGGTAATAGTTAACATTGAAGTTTTAAGTTTTAGTGTTTTAAATGTAGAATATAAGTTGTTCTTGTCACCAAGAAAAATTGAAAAGGACAAAATATATTGTGGCAAAACATTGGAAAACTATCAGCAAAGTGGGTGGCTTGTGAATATTCCTGCTTGATTCAGCCTTCACAAAGATATTCCCTGGTCAATGCTAAATAAAGGGTTTCCTCAGTCCTCTCCCCAACCCCTGGCCTGCACCTTGTCCCCCTGCAATCTGGGAATATACCTCAACCATTCACCCAGTCTTTGGACTGAAAAGGAAAGTGACTCCGGGTTCATTATAAAAATGAGACAACCTCAGCCTGTGTGGCAGCATCTGTGGAGAGAGAAACAGAGTTAATGTCTCGATTCCAGCTTGACAGAGTTCTGAAGGAGGACTCCATTTTTCTCCCTGCACAAAGGCTGCCAGACCTGCTGAGTTGCTTCAGGATTCTCTGTGTTCGGGACAAATTTTTGGCATCTGCAATATTTCGCCTTTATTTAACTAGTGGAGAAACTCAGCGGGTCTGACAGCATCTGTGGACAGAGAAACAAGAGTTAACATTTCGAGTTCAGTGACCCTCGTTGAGAACTATGTTTCAAACTTAACGGCATTGGTGGTATTTTGTATTTGTCTAGATTGTTAGAGCTGGAGGGATCAGAGGGTACAGGGAGAAAGTGGGAGCAGGGAACGGCATTGGATGATGAGCTGTGATCATATTGCAGCCCTGATGTGGAGGTGCCGGTGTTGGACTGGGGTGGACAAGGTCAAAAGTCACACGACACCAGGTTATTGTCCAACAGGTTTATTTGAAATCACAAGCTTTCAAAGCACTGCTCCTTAGGGAAAGTCCCCTCTCAAAGCTTGTGATTTCAAATAAACCTGTTGGACTACAACCTGGTATAACAAGGTGTAGAGCTGGATGAACACAGCAGGCCAAGCAACATCAGAGGAGCAGGAAAGCTGTGTTCATCCAGCTCTACACCTTGTTATCTCAGATTCTCCAGCATCTGCAGTTCCTACTATCTCGGACTACAACCTGGTGTGTGTAACTTCTGACCGTGATCATACTGAATGGTGGAACAGGTTCAAAGGGCCGAATGGCCTACTCCTGCTCTCATGTTCTATGTTTCTAGTTTCGATGTGGTCAGCACAGAGTGGCTTCAAGCCAATTGGTATGTAAAAGGAGTAGAGGGAGTGGCTCCTGGGAGGTCTGAGGAACGGTTTACAAGTACATTGTCGAGGAACTGACGCTCAATGAACCCTGATGTCATGTTGCTGGGATTATAAAGGGGACCAGTGCGGATCTGAAATCCTTGAGAGAGACAGAACAATGTGTTAGAGTTTCATTTCACCGGCAGGGAGGCTAATCTCGACAATGAAATTAACATTCAGGCAGCTGCCCTGAAACACTGGCCTGCAGATAAATGGATTAAACTGAGCAGCGGGCTGTAAGTACAAGATTTCAAACTTTACAAATATCGCGTGCATTTTCCATCATGAACTTCTGTCTTCCAATAACAATGTGAAACTTTTAATGATTATACCGTACTGCGGCGGGGGTGTGGTCCCAATCTCACTGTGATCGACTCCAGATCTCTCTGTAACATCGAGGCGTGGACTAAATAACTTTTTTAAAAAATCATCTTCAATCTCTTAGTGCCAGGACAGTTTGTCTGTGTGGGGACAAGTTACACAGATATTTTGTCATGTTGTGTGCGGGATGCGTATACAAAGTTTACAACACATCCTACAGCAATTCCTTGAGGATTTACAGAGTGACTGATTGAATCTGGGTGGAAATAGGAAACTTTAGAAATATTTCAAAGAAGTCTGTTGCAGGATTATCAATATAATCATACAGAACATCTCTGAAACGTAAGGACAAAAAAATTGAAACTCGGTGAAACTAGTGGAATCACATTGTTGAATGAACATGACATTTCGAGATTTGCTATTTCTGGGCATTAACAATAGGAACAGGAGTAGGCCATTCAACCCCTCCAGTTTGTTCAGGCCATTCAATGAGATCATGGCTGATCTGCGGGCTAACTCTGTATACCTGAAACCAAAACAGAAATTGCTGGATGAACTTAACAGCATCTGCAGAGAGAAAGCAGAGCTAACATTTTGGGTCCAGTGACCCATTGCCAGGCAAATTTCTGAGGAAGGGTCACTCGACCTGCAACGTTAACTCTGATTTCTCTCCACAGTTGCTGCCAGACCTGCTGAGCTTTTCCAGCAATTTCTGTTTTTGTTTCTGATTTGCAGCATCTGCAGCCCTTTCAGTTTTTGTTTAGTATTTAACTCGCTGCCACTTGTCTTTTAGTCATGCCTCCCTCAAAGAAGTTCTGCTCCCTTCTTCAGAACCTGCCTTTGGCCCAGACCCCTTAATAGCTTTAATTAGTAAAATTAACCGATCTCAGATTTAAAATTAAAAACTGATCCTACATCCACTGCTGTTTGTGGAAGAGAGTTCCAAATCTCTAACACCCTTTGTGTGTGTGTGTGTGTGTTTAGATGCTTCCTAAATCTCTCCTGAATGGTCTGGCCCTAATTCTCAGATTATGCCCCCACTATGTTCAGTTTGTAAGCAGAGCAAGGTGGCATGGTGGCACAGTGGTTAGCACTGCTGCCTCACAGCACCAGGGACCCAGGTTCAATCCCACCCTTGGGTGACTGTCTGTGTGGAGTTTGCATGTTCTCTCTGTGTCTGTGTGGGTTTCCTCTGGGTGCTCTGGTTTCCTCCTACAGGCTAGGTGGATTGGCCATGCTAAATTGCCCATAGTGTTCAAGGATGTGCAGATTAGGTGGGTTATTGGGGGATGGGTCTGGCTGGGAGGGTCTGTGTGGACTGAAGGGCCTGTTTCCACACTGGATTCTAGAAATGAATTTTTAAAATATCGTCACCCAGTCTCGTGTGGCGGCTTCCTATTTGCTCATTCAACAATGCGAAGACAGGTTTTACAAAACAAAATGCGAGTTGTCTTTCAGTTTAAGTGGGAGAAGCTGTATAGGCAGCAAAGGGAATGTACACACAGCACTGACTTAATGGAAAGGGATCACCTCCAAAGCACTGGTTGTAGTTCTGGGACCCGGTATCTGACTGAAGGGACAGGGCCATTGAGTACAATTTACTCTGATTTTTAGAAGGCATTTAGCAAATTTCCACATGAGACATTCACTTGGTGTAAACAGTCACAGGTTAGGATGGAAATTGGAACAAGAGTTACTGAATGGATTGGGCCATTGGAAATGGAACTAGTAATAAATGGAGGGGAACCTGGGAGTGAGGATGATTGTCGTAGGAACAAAGGAGCAGGAGTAGGCCATTCATCCCCTCAATCCTGCTCCAACATGCTAGATCATGACTGATCATCTACTGAAACCCCATTTTGCCACATTATCCTCATTTGCCTTGTTGTCATTAAGAACTAGAAATCTACCTATCTCTGTCTCAAGTATACTCAGTGACTGAGCCTGTAGTACCCTCAGGGGTAGAGAATTCCAAATATTCATCACCGTCTGAGTAAGGAAATTTCTCCTTACCTCAATCCTAAATAGCTTTTGTTCTAAACTGTATCTCCTTTGATCTTTAAACTCGGAAACGTCTGTCTCTCCTTGAATGCAGTGTAGATGTTGTTTCCTCTTTACTTTGGTGTTCTTGTAAATGTCCTGATGAGCACAAGACCAAAGGCTTCAACCTTTTTCAGCAATTCTTAAAGAATTCTGGGCTCTGCTCGTTAAATTTATAGCCAATGTCAGAACTGGTGCTTCTGATAATGGAAATAAAACTGCTATGAAAGAAGGATTGAGCCACAGGGAAAGGCTGGAACTATTGTCCCTGGAGTGTCAGAGGCTGAGGAATGACCTTATCAAAGTTTATAAAATCATGAGGGGCTTAGAGAGAATGAATAGCTGAGGTCTTTTCCCTGTGGTGGGGGAGTCCAAAACTAGAGGACATATACTCAAGGTGAGACAGGAAAGATTTAAAAGGGACTTTAAGGGCAACTTTTTCATGCAGAGGGTGGTGCGAGTATGGAATCAGCTGCCAGAGGAAGTGGTGGAGGCTGGTACAATTACAACATTCAAAAGGCATCTGGATGGCTATATGAATACAAGGGGTTTAAAGGTCTATGGGCCAAATGCTCGCAAATGGGATTAGTTTAGTTTGGGAAAGCTAGTCAGCATGGATGAGTTGGACCAAAGGGTCTGTTTCCATACTGTATAACTCTATGACTCCATGACTCTAAGGGCACCAGCATTATAGGGAAATGTTACAAATTAAACAAGAAACGAATGGCGGGTGTGTTTCAGTGAATCTAAGGTAAGCTTTGTTGATTGGCAATTTTGAAATGCAGTTACATAAAAAATGGCTACCCATTGGTTAAGGTGTAAAAGCAGGATTATATGTACTCTTTCACACATTGAGCCGAGAACAACCAGTCACTTCCTTTTTGAAATATAGTGGCTGTTGTCAGAATGTTGGATAGGAAAAGCTTGAATAGCTTCAGGATAATGAAGAGAGCCTCTCAGAGCAACATTCATTGCTGAAGGTCAGATTAACCATCAATCTGTGTTCAACCAGCCTATTTAATTTGGACAAGTAGAGCCAGCAACATCAGGTAGAACTTTTCTAAAAAGTTTAAAGCAGACCTCAGTAAATAGCTTAAAGCTACAATTACAACTAACTATGGCAACTTTACCTACATGTTAAAAGCACGTTATTGGTTGTAAACCATTTTGGCACATCATAGAAGATGCTATATAAATGCAACCGTTTTTTTCTATGTTCAAATGTTCTGCTGATATTTCAGTATGGGACAATAGGACTGATCCCCAGCCCTCCCTGTTATGGACTGTCTACTGGGTATGTGTGCAATGGACTGGAAGAGTAACAGGACAGGGGTAACTTGCAATGTTAGTTCTGCTGAGAGAATAACAGGAACAGGAGAAAGGTGATCAGGGATGTATGGTTCTCCAAATTCTCAGCCCTGGGGTGGGGGGGTGTTTCTCATTTCGAATCAGTGTCTATTCACAAATTCAGTGAAAGGGGTAAACACTGAGATTACCCAGTGCCTTCGCTGTCATTGCACTGCTCCATTATTGAGATGGTGGAAGGTGCACAAGGTGGACCTGGGTCTTTTTTGCCCAGTGGTTCTGATGTCATTGCCTTTAGGCCAGGGTCTGGGTGGGAGGCAGAGAGTACATCGGGGTGAAGGGGGGAGGCGGGGGGGTGGGGGGCACTGTGCCAGGATTGGGGGCAGGATCTCTTTACTCTGGTAGGTGAGCATCAATGTGCCTTGGCTGTGGGGGTGAGTGGAGGGGGGTGGTGTGTTCCTGGGCCAGAGGCAGCCCAGTGGCCAGTGATTTGCTCCCTGCCCCTGCTTTAGGCATGAACATGGAGAGAGTTGCCGTGCTGTGAAGATTGAAAGTTATTTTCAGAGGGATGGTCTGTCAGTGGGATTCTGCAGGTGAGGAACTGGTTGGTTGTTGCTACCGCTGATCCGATTTCCTGTTCTCCTTCCTCCGGCCCCTCCTTGCTTTGTTCCTGCAGCGTTCCCCTCCATCCTTCCCGCTGAGATGACTCTGAACACTGAGAGGAGTGACAGCACATTACATCGGCGCGCCAGCTCTCCGGTACCCTCCGCCCACCGCCATCATCACCCTCATGCCCAGCTGTTTCGCAGCCTCACCACCGAGCCGGAGCTGTTGGCACGACCTGGCCATTGGCAGAGACCCGGCTTTGGGCACTCGGTTTTGTACCAGCCCGCGGACAGGGAGCGTGGAAGCTGGTCATCAGACTCTGTGGAATCTGACACCTCCAGCGATTCGGGCTGCGGCCTCTTCCGGGTCCTGGTGCTCGGCGATTCCGGAGTCGGGAAGTCCAGTCTGACCAATATCTTTGCAGGGATCCAAGATGCTCATGGCGAGCACTCGGGAGGTAAGAATGGCAGCACAAGGGGGAGCAATGGCCACTCAGCCCCTCAATGATACAGGGGAACGAAAGGCCCCTTGAGTCATTTTCACCGTATCATTAGATCAAAGCTAAAGTGCACCACTTCCACTTTCTTATCTGTGTTCCGTAATCTTTTGTCTTTCTCTGATGGAAATCTAACTGTACTGAGGTCTCCTTATCTCAGGGAAGACATTATTGCTACAGAGGGAGATCTATGGTCTTTTTTCCTTAAGGTCTTTTCCCTGGGATGATGGTGTCCAAAACTAGAGGGGCATAGGTTTAAGGTGAGTGGGGAAACATTTTAAAGGGACCTGAGGGGCAACTTTTACCACACAGAGTGTTGCCCATGTGTGGAATGAGCTGCCAGAGGAAGTGGTAGAGGCAGGTACAGTTACAACATTTAAAAGACATTTGGACAGGCACATAGATTGGAAAGGGTTTTTTTTTGCCTTTATTCATTTAAGGGCTGATGGCATTGCTGGCTAGGCAGCATTTATTGCCCATCCCTAATTGCCCAGAGGGCAGTTAAGAGTCAAACACATCACTGTGGGTCTGGAGTCACACGTAGGCCAGACCAGGTAAGGATGGCAGTTTCCTTCCCTAAAGGATATTAGTGAACCAGATGGATTTTTCCCAACAATCGACAATGGATTCACGGTCATCATTAGACTCTTAATTCCAGATATTTATTGAATTCATCTGCCATGGCGGGATTCAAACCCAGTTCCCCAGAATGTTATCTGGATCTCTGGATTAACAATCCAGCAATAATGCCACTAGGCCATCACCTCCGCTTGAGGAGGAATATGGACCAAATGAAGGCAAATGGGACTAGTTCAGTTTAGGAAACCTAGACAGCATGGGCTAGTTGGGTGAAGGGTCTGCATCCGTGCTGTTTTCCCTGGAGCATTGAGGCTAAGGCTTGATCTAATAGGGTTTATAAAATTATGAGGGACATGGATAGGGTGAATGGCCAAGGTCTTTTTCCCAGGGTAGGCAAATCCAAAACCAGAGGGCATGGGTTAAGGTGAGAGGGGAAAGATTTGAAAGGGACCTAAGGGGCAACTTTTTCAGAGGGTGGTATGTGTATGGAATGAGCTGCCAGAGGAAGTGGTGAAGGTGGGTACAATTACAACATTTAAAAGGCACCTGGTTGGGTAGTGAATAGGAAGGGTTTAGAGGGATATGGGCTAAATGCTGGCAAATGGGACTAGATTGCTTTAGGATATGTGGTCAGCATGGACAAGTTGGGCTGGAGGCTCTGTTTCCGTGCTGTATGACTCTACAATTCACAGGAGGATTACAATGGGTCCATTAACATACTTTGTTGCCCCTGATATTTGTTGCATCACATCCATGACCCTATTTTGTTGGGGAAAAATTTTCGTTATTTGTTCAGGTGTTTTGCGTTCATGTCTTTGTTTTTCAGCATGTTGCTGAAAATTCATTCATTAATTCTTCTGAGAATAAATTCCCATTTTCTGGTCTTTCACTATTGGCCAGATTTTTCTGAACTGTATCGCGTACAAATAGCGAGGACGCCACTGTACTAGACTCGTTCCTGGGGTGGCAGGAGTGCCATATGGAAAGGGTTTGGCCAAACCAGGCCTGTATACTGTAGAGTTTTGAAGATTAGGAGATGATCTCATTGTAACCTACAAAGTACTTAAAGGCATAGACAGGGTGGATGGAGCTAAGTTGCTCCCTTTAGTTTGGGATTCCGCAGTCAGGGGGCCCAGTTTAAAAATAGTAGGAATGCTACTTAAGTCCATGATGAGGAGAAATTATTTTACTCAGAGGATTGTGAACCTTGGCAATTCTCTACTACAGAGGGTTATGGAAACTCACCGTATGAGATAGATAGACTTCTGATTACCAGTGGCGCAGAGGGTTATGGAACTGGCGTGGTTAAGAGACATGAAAGTGATGATAAGCCGTGATCATATTGAATGGCAGGCACGTTCAGTGGGCTGAATGGCCCAGTCCTGTTCCTATGTTCCAATGATACAAAAGCAAAACACTGCAGACATTGTAATTGTTCACCAAAACTTCCTTAATTCATTTTTAACCTGAAAAGTTAACTCTGTGTTTCAAAGGACGCTGCCAGAACTGCAGAATGTTTCCGGTGCTTTCTGTTTTTATTCCAGATTTCTAATATCTGCAGTATTTTCCTTTTGGAGACGTAAATAAGCTGTTTCTGGGAGGTCAGATCCAGGGCATATGAACATAAGACAGTCAATAATAAATCCAGAGATAGTAGGAACTGCAGATGCTGGAGAATCTGAGATAACAAGGTGTAGAGCTGAAGAAGGGTCTAGGCCCGAAACGTCAGCTTTCCAGCTCCTCTGATGCTGCTTGGCCTGCTGTGTTCATCCAGCTCTACACCTTGTTATCAATAATAAATCCAATCTGGAATTCAGAAGAAACCTCTCTATCCAGGGTGTGGTGAGAATGTGGAACTCGCTCTCATGGGGAGTGATTGAGGCGAATGGCGAAGATGCATGTAAAAGGAGAAGTTGGATGAACGCATGAGAGCAATTGGTCCAGAAAGTGAGATGAGACAGGGTGGGAGAAGGGTCACATCAGGCTGATGGCTTGTTTCTTTGTTAGAGATTATGTGCAAATTGAACTGCAAATGGTTCTTGATGTTAAGAATTAGAAAGAGAATGCCAATGAGGCAATGAAGGAAGCAGATAAAAGGCCATAAACAAGATGGATATATAGCTGATCCTGCCTGGATATGCTGAAGAATTCAAGCTTCAAGATTCCTGAAGGTTGGAATAGCTGGAGTTTATATATGCACGGCATCTGATCAAGTTCCCAAACCCCATGTGGGTCTAGCTATTGAGAAGTTGCATCTTAGCTGGCTCCAACTAAATGTGTGCTTGTATCACTGTGTATTTAAATATACTCACCTGGAGATGGCTAGGGATTAGGCTGGGCTCAGTGTGATTCCCCCATCACCCCTCCCCCCTGCTTAGTCAGACAGCTCACCCAATGTCGTGTATCACAAATGTAGAGTACAGTACAATACGAAGTAACTGCGGTCTCCACACATTTCAGAAGAGAAGAAGTGAAGAAGGTCAGAAGACCTACCTAATCATGTATGTTGGGAAACCGTAACAGCTTGAGAAGCAGAAAACAACGCAATAGAACCACAAATGACAAGTCCACCACTTTTCACATTGAAAAGTAAAATCCCAAAGTGCCTCTGGTTGGCACGATGAATGAATAGTCATCGAACCAGTGAAGGGGATAGTGGGGGGTTGGGGAAGGATTGCACAAGTGTCTGATGGATGTTAAAAGAGTGTAGGGAGAGCTGGAGAAGCCAAGAGATTTAAGGGAGTCGGGTCCAGAAGGAAGGCACAGTCAACAGCGTAGGGTGGAAGGAGGAGAGAGCAAGAATTTTCTTTTGGAAAATAAAGATTGCACTAAAAGCTGGGAGGAACAGCACAGTGGGAGAGCTCTGCTGTGCTACAGACTTCATGTAATCTGCTGATACTTTCCCCAGTACAAAAGGTCAGGCTTTACTTTGAACTCAAAGCTCCAGAAGTACTGAAACCAGGAATGACAAGGCAATTAAGAACTGCTGGGGGCCCTTTTCCAGCCTAATTTCAGATTGAGTTCTGGAAAATGTTTGAAAACATGAGCTTAGTGTTTGACAGGAGGCATTCCAAGTTAGCCAGCTTTACCATGGGACAGTCCACAGGGAAATTTAGAATTTTAACAATGTGCTAAGCAGAAGTAATTCTGCTTTTCAGAAAGCAAATGCTTTAGAGATTTAGATCCTAATGAATCCGTTAAAAATAAACCTCTGCAGATATCGGAATGTACCATTTCTTAACAGATTTATATGCCTCTTAACTCATATGTAGCAATTCCAAAGTCTAGAAAGATACAAGTGGAAAGACAGCTTATGATAAATTAACAACAGGAGTCTAACTTCCCATCAGTATCCCATTTTACAAAGTAACACATAAAAACATCAAATGATAGAATGGTACAGCACAGAAGGAGGCTATTTGGCCCATCATGTCTGTGCTGCTTCTTTGAAAGAGCTACACAATTAGTCCCACTCCCGTTAATTCCTCACTGCCCTGTAATATTTTTTGCCTCAAGTATTTATCTAAATTCCTTTCGAAAGATATTAAATTTGCTTCCATCTAGCAATGCATTTCAAATCAGCACAAAATACAACAAAAAGCTGCAGGTGTTGGAATCTGAAACAAAAACAGAAAATTCTGGAGAAACTCAATGGATCTAACAGCATCTGTGGAGAGAAAGCAGAGTTAACGTTTAGGATCCAGTGACCCTTCTTCAAAAAGTTTTGAAGAAGGGTCTGAAATATAAGGGGAAAATGTTCCTTCCTATTTACACTTCTCATAATTTTGTGCACCTCAATAAGGTTACCGCAACACCCAAGCATTCTCTGTCCTGAGGAAAATAACCACAGCCTATCTGGTCTGTCTTAACAACTGAAACACTTCAGCCCAGGCAACATCCTGGTGAATCTCTTCTGGCCCTTTTGAGTGCAATCATCTCCTTCCTACAATGTGACAACCAGAACTACACACTCCAGCTGGAGTCTAACTAACATTATACAGAGGTCCGTATAATCTCCCTCCTCTTGCATTCAATACTTTGACTAATAAGGACAAGAGAAGACAAGTACTTTCTAATGTTAGCCAATGAAGTACTTTCTGATGTGTGATTACTGTATTACAACAAACAATGATAGCTTCATGGTCACCATTACTGAAACTAGCATTCTACTCCAGCTATGTCTGTTTGTCTGTTTTAATATTTTCTAATCAACCTGTTCAGAGATGTTATTAAACATCTCTGGAGCAGGTGGGACTTGAACTGGGGCTTCTGGATCAGAGGTAGGGACATTACCAGTCAACCACAAGAGCCCCATTCCAGATATATATTCATTGAATTTAATTTCCATCCGCTGCTATAGTGGGATTTGAACCTGCATCCTCATTGCCTGGGCCCCTGGCTTGCTAGTCCAGGGAAATTTCCACTATGCCCCCACTTCCCTCATAGTCCTGGCTACAGTGCATCGTGGAATTTGCACATATGCAAGATATTAGGGAATATTTTTGAAGCAGTGAGGCTGTGCTGTTTAACAGGTATGGTGTGAAATAATGAGGTGACTGAAGGACCACAGTCAGTGATGCCTCTTTCACACATGGGGACAAATTACATTGATTTTTCACAGTGTTCCCCATATCATTCATTATTTCGTGTTGCTTCTTTATTGCAGAAGACACATATGAACGGACTTTGACTGTTGATGGAGAAGATACAACCTTGATAGTAATGGATACCTGGGGAACTGAGGTAACATCCTTTGCTTCTTTGATTTATTTGGCAGGATGTGGGCTTTGGGCCAGCATTTATCATTCATCTCTTGTTGCCCATGTGAATGCAGTAGAGAGTTCCCTTCTTGAGCTGCTATAGTCCTTGGGGCAAAGGTGCACCAACAAGGCCATTAGGGAGGGAGTTCCAGGATTTTGACCCAATGACGCTGAAGGAACAATGGTGTAGCACTACATCAGGATGGCGTACAGGCCAGAGGGGAAGTTGGAGGTGGTGGTGATCCCGTGCAGCCCTTGTCTCTCCAGCTGGTAGAGGTTGTGTGTTTGGAAGTTGCCTAAAGAATTCTCAGTGAGTTACTGCAGTCCATCTTGTAGATAGTACACGCTGCTGTCGCTGGGTGCGCTGTTGGTGATCGGATTGGTGGACAAGGAACCTGCTTTGTCCTGGATGGTGTCGAGCTTCTTGAGTGTTATTTTCCCTGCACACATCTGAGCACATGCAGATTATTCCATCAGCTTCCCGATGTCCTTAAAACCATCAAGAGTTTTGCTCATCGTATAATTGAGTCCTGTTCTTATATCACTATGTCTCCCCCTTTCTCATCCTCTGACAAAGACAGTTTGTGGCGTTAACTGCTTCCCAAAGCTTTGAATAAATACCACTTTGAAGCAGTGGGACAATTTGTTCACAGCAGGACCGGTCAAGTTAATTTTTCCCTCCTTTGGAACACAGTGGTAGTGTACCTACCTCTGGCCCGCAAGACCCAGGTTCAAGTCCCACCTGCCAAGGAAGTGTGTCACAATATAAAAACAAAACGAAGAACTTCGACAAGGGAGCCTCCAAAATGTCCACGTTCTTCCTCAACCAAGGATTCCCCAGCACCATTGTTGACAGGGCCCTCAACTGGGCTCAACCCATCTCCTGCACTTCGGCTGTCATTCCCTGTCTTCCCTCCCACAACGGCGATATGGTTTCCCTTGTCCTTACCTACCATCCCATCAGGATCCACATGCAGAGGATCATTCGTTGCCATTTCTGCCACCTCCTGCGAGATGCTACCACCAGATATATATTCCCCTCCCCTCCCTCGTCCGTCTTCCACACCATTCCCTGCAGGGCACCCTGGTCCATTCCTCCTTCACTCTCAACATCCCTCCCCCCATAGCCTCACGGGACCTTCTCCTGCAATCACCAAAGGTGTAACATTTGCCAATTTACCTCCTCCCTTCCCAGTGTCCAAGGGCCCAAACACGCCTTCCAGGTGAAGCAGCACTTTACCTGCGCTTTCCAGAATCTCCTCTACATTGGGGAACGAAGCGTAGACAGACCTATGCTTTGCTCGCAAAAAAGACCCTGAGCTTCCAGTTGCCTGCCACTTCAACACACCACCCTGTTCCCTAGCCAATATCTCTGTCTCTGGCTTGCTGCAGTGTTCCAGCGAATCTCAGCGCAAGCTGGAAGAACAACATCTCATTTTCCGCTTGGGGACCCTGCAGCCCCCTCTGGACTCAATATCGAGTTCAATAATTTTAGGGCCTGAACTCTCCCATGTCCTAGCCCCCACACATGAGGCCTTGTTATCACATGGTCTGCCATTACACACTACCTATTGTTAGTCACTAACAGTCTCCTTTAACAGCTCTCTACCCTCCTAGTCAGATCGTTATAAACTCCTTTGCCTGTCCAACTATTCTTCTCTCTCTTTGGGCTCTATCCCCACCTCGTTTACTCCTTAACCCCTGCCCCCACTCTATCTTCTGCATAAAAACCAACATTCTCCTAGCTACCATCAGTTGTGAGGAAGGGTCATCAGACCCGAAACATTAACTGATTTCTCTTCACAGATATTGGCAGACCTGCTGAGCTTTTCCAGCAATTTCTGTTTTTGTTTCGGATTTACGGCATCCACAGTTCTTTCGGTTTTTAAAGAACTGCAGCAGCTGGAAGTCGGAATTGAAAGCAGGAATTGCTGGAAAGGCTCAGCAAGTCTGGCAGCATCTATTGAGAGAAAAACAGAGTTAACGTTTCTAATCCAGTGACCCTTCTTCAGAACTGATATGAAATGTTAACTTTGATTTCTCGTCACAGTTGCTGCCAGACCTGCTGAGAATTTCCAGCAATTTCTGTTTTTGTTTCTGATTTGAAGCATCCGCAGTCCTTTCAGTTTTTATTTAGTATTTAACTCGCTGCCACTTGTCTTTTAGTCATGCCTCCCTCGAAGTAGTACTGCTGCCTTCTTCAGAACCTGCCTTTGGCCCAGACCCCTTAATTGCTTTACTTACTAAAATTAACCAATCTCAGATTTAAATTTAACAACTAATCCTACATCCACTGCTGTTTGTGGAAGAGAGTTCCAAACCTCTACCATCCCCTGTGTGTGTGTAGAAGCGCTTCCTAACATCTCTCCTGAATTGTCTGGCCCTAATTCTCAGATTATTCCCCCACTATGTTCAGTTTGTAAGCAGAGAAATGAATTTTTAAAATATCGTCACCCAGTCTGATGTGGCGGCTTCCTATTTGCTCGTTCAACAATGCGAAGACAGGTTTTACAAAAAAAAATGCAAGTTGTCTTTTAGATTACGAGGCAGAAGCTGTATAGGCAGCAAAGGGAATGTACACACAGGACTGACTTAATGGAAAGGGATCATCTCCAAAGCACTGGTTGTGGTTCTGGGACCCGGTATCTGACTGAATGGACGGAGGATTTCCATTGAGTACAATTTACTCTGATTTTCTTTCGTTCGGTTTTTAAAGAAATCGGAATTGAAAGCAGAAATTGCTGGAAAGGCTCAGCAAGTCTGGCAGCATCTATTGAGAGAAAAACAGAGTTAACGTTTCTAATCCAGCGACCCTTCTTCAGAACCGATATGAAACATTAATTCTGTTGCTCTCTCCACAGATGCTGCCAGACCTGCTGAGTTTCTCCAACAACTTCTGTTTTTATGTGTCACAACATTTTTGAACAAGTTGACCAAAATACCTGTTCCCTGTCCTCTTGCTTGTTCCACTGATTTTTCAGTTCAGGTCAGGAACTCCAATAGCCCATTCCTTTTATGCCCTATCAAGCCACTTGTTACTATGTCCCACAGGCAGCTGTCTGTACTGTTTTAATATAGACATGTAACAAGGAGAACTCTACTGATAAATACCACACTTTTTGTCTCACAGTCATCAGGACAAGACTGTCAGTGCTGAGTGCAACAACACAATTTATACTGTATGACAAGAGAGTGCTGATCCATTGGCATGTGTCTTTTTCCAGCAATAGTCACATTCTGTTCAATCAAATGACTGTTTAAAGAGGCAAACGTGCAGCCTTTTTTCTTGGAGCGAAATGAGATTTGGAGGTTGCCAACTTCCAATGCCATATATCACCTAGACTTGAAATGTTGGCTTGCTTTCTCTCCATGGATGCTGCCTGAACTTGCTGTGATTTTCAGCATTTTTTTTTCAGCACCAGAAGTACACTGGTTACCATATTGGACCAGTGATGCATCCTGAAAGACCTTTAGCTGTGCTTGTGATATGTTTGGGATTCCAACATTTCTGAGAGGGTGTCACAGAATTGTTACAGTGCAGAAGGAAACCATTTGGCTCATCTTGCCTGGAAACTGCTGAATCTTCTGCCTTTATCCCATGCCCCTGGGTACTATTTTTGTCCCAATGCCCTCTCATGCCTGAGTTGAACCTGCCTCCATCACATTTCCAGGCAGTGCTTTCCAGACCTTAACTACATGCTTTGTGAGAAAGGGTTTTTTCTCACATTATCCTTACTTTGTTTGCGTGTCGCTTTAAATCTGTGCCCTCTTGTTCCTTTTTTGCTTTTACCAATGGGAACAGCTTCTCTTTGTCTGCTCATGATTTTGAAAACCTCTATCAAATCTCCTCTCAGCCTTCATTTCTCCAAGGAGAACTGTCCCAACTTCTTCAATCTGCCATCACCGCTGAAGTTTCTCAATCCTAGAACATGCTTGTAACTTTTGAATTGTGTCAGAGAAACATATCCGACTATAAATTCGATATCCATGTTTACACTGTCAAGGGTGGTTTCGGGATCATGGAGGTGTGTATCTGTTCACACACATTGTGATGCAACAGAGTACCTGCCTAATGGGTTCCACGTCAGGGTTTTGACAAAACGGACCAGGAGAAAGAAGGAGTAAATTACTCAGAGATGGTAAGAACTGCCAATGCTGGAGTCTGAGATAACACATTGTGGAGCTGGAGGAACACAGCAGGCCAGGCAGCATCAGAGGAGCAGGACAGCTGATGTTTTGGATCGGGACCCTTCTTCAGAAATTTCTGACGAAGGGTCCTGACCCGAAACATCAACTTTCCTGCTAGTGGAATGCTGCCTGGCCTGCTGTGTTCCTCCGGCTCCACGCTGTGTTATCTAGGAGTAAATTACTGTTGGAATCTATACTGAAAACAAATGGTGGGGTTCACATCAAGTCAGGCAGCATCCATGGAGAGAAAGCAAGCTAACATTTTGAGCCTGGATGACTCTTCATCAGAGCTGAAGTGTGGAGGGGGCAGCATTGATAGGGTTGGGGTGTGGTGGAGTGCGGAGTGCTGTGGGGAGAAAGGGTGTTGATAGCTCAGATTAAGTGATCGGAATGTGAGAATGGCTGGACAATGGTGTGTCTTACTGTCAGACTGGAGCGAACAGATAGTCCCACTGGGGATGGGGGGAGAAGGGAGAGAGAGGACATGGTGACAGAGAATGTAACAAGTAAAGCTAAAAGAAAGGGAAGGAATGGGAGTGGGTTCATAATTTGAAGGTGTTGAACTCAATATTAAGCCCAGAAGGCTATAAAGTGCCTAGTCTGAAGATGAGACGTTGTTCCTCCAGTTTGCGCTGTGATTCACTGGAGCACTGCAGCATGCTGAGGACAGATCAGTGGGCGTGCAGAAGAAAGAATTTCCACTGACAGGACGGCCAGTAACCAGAGGACATAGAGGAGGGGATGAGAGGAGATGTCTGAAACACAGCGATGCCGTTGAGATCTGGAGCTGAATGCCTGAAAGGATGGTAGAAGCAAATACAGCAATAACTTGGGAATTAGATAAATGTGGACGCAAATTGTTGCGTGTAGTTTTTAACCACTCGATCTTTTCCCTCTCCAGGGTGACGAGCCATGGGTTCAGGATTACTGTATGCAGGTGGGCAATGCTTACATCATTGTCTACTCCATCACCGACCGGTCCAGCTTCGAAAGTGCCTCAGAGCTTCGTATCCAGCTTCGGAGAATGCGGCAGGCCGAAAACATCCCCATCATCTTAGTGGGGAACAAGAGTGACCTGGTTCGATGTCGCGAGGTCTCAGTTGAGGGTAATTTCTACATCTGGCATGTGCACTCAAATACAGGACGACCACCAGTATCATACTGGTGCACCCCAACCTGACCCACTCCAGGCACTTCAGTCAATTCTAAGTATGTTCGTGGCCCAGTCACTATACAAGTGCAACTAAGTGGCTGCTTCCTGTTTGTTTCCAAATGCATTGTGATCCGAGAAATCCACTCCATCCCTGCTCACTCCCGTTTTGTGGAACTTTATTTCTGGTCACAACAACAACTTGTATTTATATGGCACTTTTGGCATGGTTAAAAAGAATGCCCCAAATCATTTATATTCTATATTCACTTACGGGATGTGGGCGTTGCTGGCTGGGCAGAATTTATTGCCCATCCCTTGTTACCCCTTGAGAAGGTGGTTGTGAGATGCCTTCTTAAACCGTTGTAGTCCACCTGCTGTGGGTTGACCCACAATGCCATTAGGGAGGGAATTCCAGGATTTTGACCCAGCGACAGTAAAGGAACGGTAATATATTTCCAAATCAGGCTGGTGAGTGGCTTGGAGGGGAAGGATGATTTGGAGGGTGATCAAACAGCGTTTGACACGTTCATTTTTAGCTTTTAAAAACAGAAGGAAGTGGTTAAAGAGGTTTACAGGTGTAGAGGTATAGGGAAGGCATTCCAGAAGTTAGGGCTTGAGAATTTCAGTTCCATTCCAGAATTTTAATTAACTGCATTTCAACGCTACCCCCTGCTCCCCACCACAACCCCAAAAAAATTTTTAATTGATTTCCCGTGGACCTTTCACAAAATACCTCATTTGAGAAAGACATTAGTTCCATTTCTGGTCTGGTATACCAGCAGATCTAGACAAACAGTCAAGAGAACATGTGTTCCAATCTTTTGATTGGCAATTAGTAACCTTGAATTCAAAATGTTGCCATCACTAAGACTGAGCTCGAAATTGCCAAATTGTTGTGCAAATCTGACTGGTTCATAAACACATCTAAGAGGAAGAAAAGCTTCCATCATCAACTCACCCGACCTACATTTGATTTCAGTCCCTCACCAGCTGCCTCTGAACCAGCCGCTTGAAGAAAAGCCCATCATCACTCCTTCAGGGTGTCAAGGCAACCCTCCCAGCGAGGTCTACCTTCTGAGAATGAGCTTTTAATCAGTCTCAACTGATCAGATCTTCACCCTTTCCCCCTCATTCGTTCATGGGATGTAGAAAGATCTCTGGTTAGGCTAGCATTTATCACCCTTCCCTATTTGCCCTCGAATAAATGGATCTTGAATTATTGCAGACCTTGTCATGCCCACAATACTGTCAGAATAGAATCCAAGGATTGTTTTTCCAAGTCAGAAGGTATGTGGCTTGGAAGGCAACTTGCAGGTATATCTACCACCCTTACAGACAGTAATGGTCGTGGGTTAGGAAGCTACCCTCAGAGGAATGTTGGTGAATTGCTGCAATTATTCTCGCCGATAATACACACTGTTGCTACCAGGTATTGGGGATTACGTAGGGGGTGGGGAGCTGATTATTAAAGATGGTAATTGTGGTGCCATTCAAATGCATTGTCCTGATGGTGTTGAGCTTCTTGTGTGTTGCTGGAGCTGCACCCATCCAAGCAGTGGACAATATTCCATCACACTCCTGACTTGTGCTTTGTATATGGTGGACAGGCTTTGGAGAGTCAAGAGGGGAGTTACTCACTGGATTGATCCTAGCCTCTGACCTGCTCTTGTAGCCACTTTTAAATATAGCGAGGCAAGTTTGGTTTCCAATCGATGCTAACCCTTAAGATGTTGATAGTGGGGGATTCAGTGATGGTAACGCATTTGAAAGTCAAGAGCGATGATTAGATTTTCTCTTGAGGGAGATGGTCATCGCCTGGCACTTGTGTGTTGCAAATGTTACTTGCCACTTGTCAACCCAACCGTGGATATTATCCAGATCTTGTTGTATTTGGACATGAATCATATCCGTGTCTGAGGTGCCAGCAATGGTGCTGAAGATTGTGCAATTATCAGTGAACGTCCCCAATTCTGACCTTTTGATGGAGGGAAGCTCATTGATGAAGCAGCTGAAGATAGTTGGGCCTAGGAACTCATGCAGTACTGAGGAACTGATGCAGAGATGCCCTGGAGCTGAGATGACTGACCTCCTTCAACCACAGCCAACCTCCTGTGCTCCAGGTATGACTCCAACCAGCAGAGAGTTTGCCCCCTGATACCCATTGATTCCAGTTTTGCTTGGGCTCTTCGATGCCACACTCCATCAAATACACCTTGTTGCAAAAGTTATGACTCTCTCCTTACCTCTGGAATTCAGCACTTTATCTATGTTGGAACTAAGGGCTGTAATAAGGTCAGGAGCAGAATGACCCTGATGGAACACATGCTGGGCATCAACAAACAGGCAAGTGTCTTTTGACAGCACTTCGCTGATGATTGAATGTAGATGTAGAAGGTGGTAATTAGCTAGGTGGAATCTGTCCTGCTTTTTGTATACAGGACATACCTGGGCAATTGTCTACATTGTCGGGTAGATACCACTGTAGTGATTGTACTGGAACAGCTTGGCTAGGGGAGCAGCAACATCTGGAGTACAAGTCTTCAGTACTATTGCCAAAATGGTATCAGGGCCCATTGCTTTTGCAGTAGCCAGTGCCTTCAGCTGTATCTAAGAGATCACTTGGAGTGAGTCGAATAGGCTGAAGACTGGTATCTGCAATGTTGGGGACCACTTGAGGCGGCCAAGATGGATCATCCACCCAGCACTTCCAGCTGAAGATTGCTGCGAATGCTTCAACCTTGTCTTTTGCACTGATGTGCTGGGCTCTTCCATCAGTAATGATGGGGGTGTTTTTGGACCTCTTGTTCATTGGTTGCGGGTAATTAAACATTTGTAACTGGATCTGCAGGCTTCGAACAGATCTGTTGGCTATGGAATTATTTGGCCCTGTCTCTTGCATGAAATTTCTGCTGTTTGGCAGGCAGGTAGTCCTGTTGTGGAGGCCGACATTTGATTTTTAGGTGCGCCTGGTGGTGGAAGTCCTTTTGTATTCTTCTTTGAACCAGGGTTTATCATAGTTTATCATAGAATCCCTGCAGTGTGGAAACAGGTCCTTCGGCCCAACAATTCCACACCGACCCTCAGAGCATCCCACCCAGACCCACCCCCCTATAACTCACCAAATCTACACATCCCTGAACACTATGGGCAATTTAGCATGGCCAATCCACCTAGCCTGCACATCTTTGGACTGCGGGAGAAAACCAGAGCACCCAGAGGAAACCCATACAGACACGGGGAGAATGTGCAAACTCCACACAGAGGATGGAATCCCTTGGTTTGATGGTAACCGTAGAGTGGGGGATATCCCTGACCATAAGGTTACAGCTTGTTGTTGAATACAGTTCTCCTGCCGGTCCACAGCACCTGGTAAATGCCGATTTTGAGTTGCTAGATCTGTATGAAGTCTGTCTTATTTAGTGTGTCAGTGGTATCCCACCAGACAATGGAGGGTATCCACAATGTGAAGTTGGAACTTCATTGTCACTAAGACCATGTGGTAGTCACCCCTTCTGGTACCGTTGTGGATAGATGTACTTGTCACATTTGTGAGGATATGGTCAAGTGTATCAAAGATACCAAGAACTGCCGATGCTGAGTCAGAGACAACATAGTGTGGAGCTGGAGGAACACAGCAGGTCAGGCAGCATCAGGGGAGCAGGAAAGTTGACCTTTCGGGTCAGGACCCTTCCTCAGAAATGAGGAGGGGGAAGGGAGCTGGGAAATAAATAGAGGAAGGAGAGGTGGGGCTGGGGGAAGGTAGGTGGGATGGTGATGGGTGGATGCAAGAAGGGGGAGGTGTATGTTGCATTTAACCAAACTGGTCAACCTTTTCCCACTGTACTCACCATTTGACCCAAACACAGTGTATCAGAATTATCCCATATTCGCACTCCCCCAATGTTCCCTGTTAGCTGCACAACTCTACAATAACCTGCCACCGCAGAGGCTATGCAAGCATATGAACAAGGAACAAATGTAGGCCACTCTGCCCTTCAAGCCTGCTGCTATTCAGTAAGATCATGGCAAATCCGATTTTAAACTCAACTTTCTATTCATGCTAATCCACGTTAATTTTTTCATCCCCTTGGTAGAATCTATCTACCTCTGCCTTAAAACTATTCAGAGATTTTACATCCACTGCCTTTTGAGGAAGGGATTTCCAAAGCTTCTCAACCCTCTGAGAGGAATTATTTTTATCATCTCTGTCTTAAATGGGCAACCCCTTATTTTTAAACAATGACTGTGACTGCTTGCACAAGTCCGTGCCTCTAAGTTACTAGAGTGCATGACCAGACCAAAAAAAACCTTGAGGAGCATTGACCTTAAATAAGCCAAGATACCTCAAAAGAAGCAAAGTGACCATTGCACTCAGCCCAGTTTTACAAACAGACATCTTTTAATTGTTCCTATAATGATGGGGTGATACAGTGGCTCAGTGGTTAGCACCAGGCTATGGTTAGCACCATAGCTCTAGATTACAACATGTGTGTAAAAGTATATTGCTAAAGCCTCACAGCACCAGGGACCTGGGTTCAATTCCACCCTCAGGTGACTGCCTGGGTAGAGTTTGCACATTCCCCCTACGTCTGAGTTAACAAGGTGTAGAGCTGGATGAACACAGCAGGCCAAGCAGCATCAGAGGAGCAGGAAAGCTGACGTTTCAGGTCTGGACCCTATCTCTCCCCCAATGTTTGTGCAGGTTTTGACTGGGTGCTCTGGTTTCCTCACAGAGTGCACAGATGTGCAGGCTAGGTAGATTAGCCATGCTAAATTGCCTATAGTGACCAGGGATGTGTAGGTTAGGCGGATTAGCCATGGGAGATGTGGGGTTACAGGGATGGGGTGGGTGTGGGATGCTCCTCAGATGGTTTGTGTGGACTCAATGGGTCAAATGGTTTGCTTCCACATGCTAGGGATTCTGAGATCTGCTGGAGTTGCTGGGTCATAACC